AGTTGGCCGAAGGCGCGAAGCCCTTGCTGGTTGTTAAAAATAGGGGGGCCGCAGCCCCTTCAGCCCCCCTCTAAATCCGTCCCTGCACTATGTCTTGTATCTGTACCACCAGATAAAACACCAATCTACCATCATGCATGTACTACCCTTTATTTGGGATCCGGTGTTTAGCTCATATAAGGGATCACTTGCACTGTCGCTTTCATATAGCTTATGTCATTTCAACATCACAGCAGTGCTTTATCACTAGTGGGCGTCCCTTATTGCAATATTGTATTCATCAATACACGCATAGTTCCATATTATTCTGTCACATGCAATCTAATTTAACACTTAGTTTCAGCATGCAACTGCAATAGACACCACACATCTATGTAAATCCTGCACACCTTGCCTACGACCTAGCAGGCAAGTGTAAAACAAAACTACCTAAGACTTCAGTCATAGGGTATGTGTGCCTAAAGAAACAGACCCTGGTTTGTTAATATGTTTCAGGATTTTTTGATTACACAAGTTATTTATTGCCCATCTTCCTAAAAAAACTGTATCACAACTTTACTCACTGCTACATCACCTTCACAGACGAATAATCACAAAAAAACTAAAGAAATAATATTTCATACAATTTATTAACAACCTTCATATTTGTGCAAAATTTACATCAAAATATAGACAAATAAGATACCATCACCGATATAAACAAACAAAAGCCTTGTTGCCAAGCAACAACAGACAATAATTGACGGATAAATATTTATATTCATTTAAAGCACATAGAAAAAATACACCAATAAACAAAGTACAAAGAACACCTTAAAAAAAATATTTGCATCATTTTATACAGACCAATCAGACAAAAGGTTGAAATATTATGTAAATTTAAATTATTAATTTGCATCCAATTAAAACACTCCGATCATATATTAATTAATTTACAAAAACAAATCGTGGTGGATGTAATACCACCCACTTAAACACTGCACCAGAGTTAACAATGATGTTAAACTATGAAGGGGTGATGACCTAATTGTACTTGAACAGTCCATAGCAGTTATACCAGTGTGCTGAACTGCTGCATGTTGTTATCATTATCTGATCTGGTCAACAGTTTCAGGATCTGGTCAACAGTTTCAGGATCTGGTCAACAGTTTCAGGAGCTGTTTCATCTGGCACAATGCAAGTATGTTTCCCCCACTCAGAGAGAATAAAAGTATTTATAACCATAGTTACCCGATAATAAAATTTCTTCAAGAAAATCACCTTGGAGGTGATGGCTGCTAAAGAACCATGGCATAAAAACACATAGCTATAAGTTGTTGCATGATAACTGGTTTAAACCAGTTTATGGAAATTAACAATCCCAGTTTCAGATCAGGCCATCTGAGAAGAAAACGGTGTAAATCAGGATTTTGTATTCAAGTTCTTGCTCTAAAAGTTATTCGAATCACAGTCACTGTACAGTGGTCAAGTCCCCATTATGACAATTAATGTCAAAATTTCACATCAATTTCTACACACCGCATGACATAGATCATTCCATTTTTCAACTTAAATTGAACCAAATTCTTGATTCTTTCAGCCTAAGACCAGATAAAAATATTTATAGTAATTGCCTCATCTGAAATAGTGCAACAACTTAAAAGGAAATTCAAAATAAATTCCACTTCAAGGTACGATTCCCTGTAGAGTTGATTAAACTTAATCATTTGTAAAATACCATATAAGGCAATTCGTATATTAAAATAGAACTCCATACTATGAAAGTCATTTGCATAATTTATCAAGGCACACCGCTATAAAAATTCAGCATTTGTGTTAAATATTGTATCGTGTGTACCATTTTTCCTCTATTACAAGTGTGCAATGAGTTTACAATATGCATCTATTGTCGGCATGCTTATAATAGAAGAAACATTGTACATGGTTTATCCTGAATGTGGCTAGGGATGCTCTTACAGGATGGAGAACCCTTAAGTTAGTGTAAAATATGGTCCAAAGTATTCCCTAATACTCAAGAGTTGATATGCATCGTCTTACACATGCATATTTACGATGCCATTCTAGAAGTAGTATATATGTTAATATATTCAAAATTCCATGGCATTATTTTCTCTCCTTGGAATTATGTGAAACTCCACAAAGTGAGGCATTCCCCACTAGTCTTCTACGAACGAACAACTCCCATAGAAAAGGTTACAAAAAACAATCTTGCACGATTTCAACAAGATATCACTAACTTGTACCAATATACATGTAGCATTACAAGACTTTTTTTTATCCACCCTTGATTTCAGTAATAAACAGGAGGTCAGGTAAACTACCACAACTCCTGTGAAAGCACCTTCAAGATGCTCCAATATATACCCACAAGTACCCTTAACTCTGTAAATGTAAACCATCATTCACCCAATGGCCAATCATTAAATAAGTAAAAAAAAATGTTCATATTTTCAATTCCTTCAAGAAAATCCTTGATTGGCTATGTTAGTACTTTGGGTATATCACACTTGGTCTAGTATAGACCATAATACAATTAATAATATTATAAAACCTGCATATTTCATAATAATGTACGTACATGAAATACAAAATACATACAGAAAAGTTTAGAGAAATGGAGGAAAAAAAATACTGGAAAATTGACATAAAATTAGTGTTCGGCAACACATGTATCAAATTAATGAGTGATATTGTCTACTACTAGAAAAAAAAACTGCTGTAATAAAGAATTACCGTTTTCAATTAATTGATATTAATTATGTTTGTCGGCAGACTGAAAAAGCAATAGCAAACTTGGTTGCTGTCACCTGTCAATCAATGAAAAATCTTGTACGATGTCAGATGACTATATGAACCAATCACAAAGCTTATAATTGTCAGCTGACTATTTCAACCAATGAAAAATATTGCATTGTCATATGACTATATGAACCAATCACAAAGCTTATAATTGTCAGCTGACTATTTAAACCAATGAAAAATATTGCATTATGTCATATGACTATATGAACCAATCACAAAGCTTATAATTGTCAGCTGACTATATAAACCAATGATAATTCTTGCATCTTATCAGATGATTACATAAACCAATCACAAATCATTGTTTCTGTTGACTGATGGAGGTAAAGCTCTAATAATACTGACAAACATAAAATTGTTATCTCCAAATATAGAAAAAAATCAGCCATAATTGTCTCAAGTAATTTGATGTGAGAAAACATTCCCAACTGCAATGGTAATAATCTAATGATAAATTTATGTTCTGAACAGGAAAACCTATCTTAACGATTAGCTGGATATACTATTATCTCTACAAACTATCTGTACCATACCAACTTTAATATTTCAGCTGGACTGTAGATTAAAGTATTTGAGTTGGCGACTTTGAGGTAGAACAATTAGAAATCTCACAAACTGTGGATATCCACTTCTGCCATTTGAAGTATATCCATGAATGCAATGCAACTTGCGTAGAAAAGCGAGGTCATTATCCTTTTGTGTTTCACTGAATTTTATATAGCCATGTAAAAATTGGTTGGTAAGGTTTTAACAGTCAGTTGAAATTTAAAAAGAAATGGAAGAAGAAATTATCTATTGAATTGTTAAGGGCCAGATATTTATTTCATTCAAGGGAGGGAGGGGGGGATAGGTGAAAGTTATTATACAAGGTAGATTAGGCTTTCTTTTCCCCCAAGAAATGAGTTGTTTGTTGCTTATTTGTTTACTCAAAGAAAGTTGACAGTTTTATCTGGATTGCCATGTATTAAAATTAACAAATATGAGACTATAAAATAATATTTCTGAATTTTTTAATAAATAACTGCAGGGAAAGTTATATGTAGAATGCTTTCATAATGCGAGACCTAATTTCGTTAATTGTTTGAGTTTCTGAAAATCACAACAGCAAAATTTATTTTTTGTGGCGATTAAAAGATAGGGATGCAGTTAGCGTTAACCGTTTGGTATGTAATGCAACAAACAACAACAAAGTACCAGACAATGATGAAAGGGATTAGATTGACTTACAATATTTGTTTGTTTCAATACTGAAGTTTCTCACCCAAAACCCAAATTGTAAAAATGCAAAAGTGATATTTTGAAAATGTAGCTGAAAGGTTTCTATGAATGCTATGATGGTACACATCACATGGAGATTTTTTTCAATCATTCTTTTGATAGAACAAAGAACATGTACCAAGTTCAACTGCCTGCGTTTTGGTTTTGCTGTGTACTGCTTGTGAACTGCTTTGACCAAGAGCAAACATTTTTGAGAGAGTCAGTTTGCGTAGCAGGTTTTATATGCCTCAGCGAAAACATTCCAGGCTATTTAGTCATAATTTCTAAGTTGTACAATGATTATTCATGTTTCAACTGAATCATTGTTGACATTTCCAATCAATTAACACAAACTGAGCACATGCCAAGCTGTAAGCTTATCCTCAACAAATTTCTTACAGTATTTGTAAAATAATGAAATTCAGCAATTCTATTGGTTTGAATAACCTCTGTAAGAAAAGAAATCACACTCTTCAACTTTCTGTTAGCAGTTTGAGGTCATAGCAATTATTTACTGTCTGAGCTGCCACATCTCAGTGCAAAAGTATTTACACAACTTTATACAATATAAGTGTTGGATTTTGGACCAAACAAATATATTAGATCACTCCTCCCCCTCCTACTAAATAATTTGTTTCTATTTAGTGAACAGCCTGTGTTAGTTACAAAAGGATGCCACTTTTTCCTTTTTTTCTGGCACATTATTGTGAAAGAAAAACAAAAACTGAAGCAAAAAATATTGTTAAATAATCAACAGTCTGTATAAAAAATTTGTATGGTACATTCCGTCAAACGTTTCAATATTGCATTAATAGATAAGGATTTCACTGTGCAGTTTTCTTTTTTTATCAGATTAATGTTAAGGAAGAAATTATAGAAAGTTATTCCAATAAACTGAATAAGTCATAGAAAAATCAACTCAATTACAAAGATAACCTGAATTAGAGATGATCACCTCGTGTCAGATGCGATGTGAACTCATACCTATCGTTACTACGGAAACCACATATATTGCATTGTAATGGATTGTGGAAACCATGGCAACCCATGTGTATCGTAAACATGACATGATCTAGAAAAATAATTTGGCAATGTTCACATTTATAAATGGGCGAACCTGATACAGGATCGATGCGACACCTTACGCACAACGATCGTGATGGAACTGATGAGCCAGGTTCGTCGTCATGATTCTGACATCTATTCTGCCACGGTGGATACTTTCGTTGCCGAGACGTAACATTCTCCTTTTCACTAGGACAGCTAATTTCTTCCAAAGAGTCGCTGACATTATCGCTCTGCTCAACGTTGTCTCTGATATGCGTTGTTTGTTGTTGGTGGTGCACGACCTGAAGGTGATCTTGTTGCTGATTGATGCTATAATCTATAGCATTATTATTCAAGTTATTTTCTTCAATTTGCGGTGACATCATTGGAGGAGTTGGTGAAGGGTTGTCAATTTCATGTCCATACATAGCCATCACATTGGTAAAGGCAATCTCTACACCCTAAGGAAATGAACGAAACTAGGTTCAGTAACAATATAGATTGATGGCGCTGTTTGTGACTGAAAGTGAGGTTCAGTAGCAATATAGATTGAGGGCGCTGTCTGTGACTGAAAGTGAGGTTCAGTAGCATGTAGATTGAGGGCACTGTTTATGATTGGCTGGTTCCCACCTCAAGTGTCATGGCGTACCAAGCCACAAGAGGCCGGTAACTAGTAACGAATCCGGCATTCCGATTGGTCCATCACTTTTTCGTTGCTTGTTTCCCTTGGTTACCTGACGTCAGCGCTTATGCTCATGGTCGTTCAGGGGTTTCCTTTTACTCTCGAAAGTTGGGCGAATAAAAAACTGTTTTTTTGTTTGTTATAAATTTTCACAGAAACAGCGAGGAATGTCAGAAACATCTCAAATATATGAATCTAAGCAGGCAGTATATATAAGCATGGCTTTATTGTAGTATTACAGACACATTTACGCAGAACGGAACTTGGAATGTTTTCAAATTACGTCACTCAGTCACGTGCCTTCTGGCTGGAAAACCGGCCCAAATGGAACAATATGGCGATTACTAGTTACCTGCGTCCTACCTGTCATTCGCAAAGGACGCCGCGAACCAGCGAATGTTTATGATTGAAAGTGAGGTTCAGTAGCGATATAGTTTGGGGGCACTGTTTATGATTGAAAGTGAGGCTCAGTAGCAATATAGATTGATGGCGCTATTGGTGACTGAACGATTTGACCAAATTTGTTGTTAGCAACTTAATATTCTGCCAATAATAAAATAAAATATTATAGCAAATTACCTGAGTAGGGGTACTTGCATTATTTGAATTAGTCGGAGTTGTATCGATGCTTATACCATTCTTAGGTGCTCCATTAGTTTGTTCACCATCTTCTTCTAACCGACTTAGTTTCATACCATCTGACAACAAATGCCAAAAAAATATTTTGTTTGCATGCTTTTAAAAACATTCTAGTTGATGCATAGTCCATGTTTGTGTTGAGCTGAGCTGAATTGATGTTTAAGAACTCAATTGGTTTAGAATGTCAATCAATGAAAGTTCATTGAATCAAAAAACAAATTTGCCTGCATATGAAATTGTACCAAATTTAAATAAAATTGAGTCAACTGAAAATAAAAATAGCTGGCATTTGGTTTAATTTCACAAAAATACAAATCTTGCATTTGTACCAGGACATACGAGTAGAAAACAAAATGGCAACCGGGTATCCAACAAATAACCAAATCACAAAACCAAAACAACAAAAAAGATCTTGACATACACCATGAATAATTAATTAGTACATAGCATAGTACAGGATCTTGACGTATAACATGAATAATTAATTAGTAAATTAGCGTAGTGCAGGATCTTGACGTATAACATGAATAATTAATTAGTAAATTAGCATACTGCAGGATCTTGACGTATAACATGAATAATTAATTAGTAAATTAGCACAGTGCAGGATCTTGACGTATAACATGAATAATTAATTAGTAAATTAGCATAGTGCAGGATCTTGACATGTAACATAAATAATTAATTAGTAAATTAGCATAGTGCAGGATCTTGACGTATAACATGAATAATTAATTAGTAAATTAGCATAGTGCAGGATCTTGACATATACCATGAATAATTAATTAGTGAATTAGCATACTGCAGGATCTTGACATGTAACATAAATAATTAATTAGTAAATTAGCATAGTGCAGGATCTTGACGTATAACATAAATAATTAATTAGTAAATTAGCATAGTGCAGGATCTTGACGTATAACATGAATAATTAATTAGTAAATTAGCATACTGCAGGATCTTGACATGTAACATAAATAATTACTTAGTAAATTAGCACAGTGCAGGATCTTGACGTATAACATGAATAATTAATTAGTAAATTAGCACAGTGCAGGATCTTGACATGTAACATAAATAATTAATTAGTAAATTAGCATAGTACAGGATCTTGACGTATAACATGAATAATTAATTAGTAAATTAGCATACTGCATGATCTTGACATGTAACATAAATAATTAGTGAATTAGCATAGTGCAGGATCTTGACGTATAACATGAATAATTAATTAGTAAATTAGCATAGTGCAGGATCTTGACATATACCATGAATAATTAATTAGTAAATTAGCATAGTGCAGGATCTTGACATGTAACATAAATAATTAATTAGTAAATTAGCATAGTGCAGGATCTTGACATATAACATGAATAATTAATTAGTAAATTAGCACAGTGCAGGATCTTGACGTATAACATAAATAATTAATTAGTAAATTAGCATAGTGCAGGATCTTGACGTATAACATGAATAATTAATTAGTAAATTAGCACAGTGCAGGATCTTGACATGTAACATGAA